ATGTATTGCTGGCAATGAGTCAGTTAGACCCTATTACTAACAATCCCTTGTAATCCCTTAATGTATATATGTGTATATATGTATATGTGTATATGTGTGTATGTATATATATATATATATGTATATGTATGTATATAAATATAATAATGAGTAGGGATAATATTTATATTATTATATGTATCACATCTCCCATATTTAGAACTAACAAAATTTTTCATCGTGCCTCCCACCAAACTCTTTATAATTACTCCTTCCATCCAAAGGTTGCCTCATTGTGATTATTTCTTGTAATTATTTATATTTATAATAAGTTTACTATTGTATGTAAAGAGTACACTATAATATATACAGGTTTACACTATTGTTTAATCTTTTGGAGGAAACAATAAAGAGTATGTATTTATCTGTCCAGTGATTTATGATCATAGGTCTCCTCCTATTGGGAGGTTTTGTCAGTAGTTGCCACGATTGGCAAGTAGGTTGGTAACCACAGTTAGGGTATAGTGATGTTTTAATACGGATGCTGATGCACATCTCTCGACCATAAAATTCTCTATGTCGCCTCTTACGACATCGAAGGAAAAGGATGATGTGAGCCATGCTATGCCGGAACCACACGGCCTTACACTTATAAGCATAGTCAACTTCAATAGTAATTTTTTATTTATTTATTTTACACTTTATTGCACCAAGTAAAAAGAGAGATAACAAATACAGTAAATATAAATGAGAAGTGATACAAAAGGCGGCCTTATCGCTAAGCAATCTCTTCCACACAACCTTTGGGTAGAGAGAAAAATATTATAATATATTATAATAAAAAATTATATAATAATTTTTTTTTTTTTTGTGAAAATGGCATGGTAACCCTGCCTGCGCTAACGGAATACGCTGGCAGAGCACCAGTGAAGGGTGATAGATGAGAATGAAAACAGGACAGTTAGCCCATCATGATGAATTCATCAAGAATTAACCATGATAATTTCCAGGGAGAACCGCGAGTAGGTCAACCTGGTTGGGTATATTGCTAGCAATGAGATTCTTAGTCTCCATTACTAACAATCCCTTTCCCCCCTATATAATAATATTATAGATACATTAACTAAATGAAATTTGTAAGAAATCGAAATATTTACTCAGTTAATTGATTTTTTGTTTGTACTGTCATTGGTCATGGAGTAGACGGTCAGGTCATTTATTCCTTTGTTTACATTTCTCGCATTGAGTTCTATCGAAGCAATCTACAATTTTTATTTTATGCAACTTAGAATGGCAAACAAGCTGATGGCCCACCTGATGGAAAGTGGTAACCGTCGCCTATAGACATGAGCAGTACCATGGACATAACAGAGTATACTGTTTCGCCCATGATACCTCCCATGCATTGCCATTCCTGAGGACTCAGGTGTTATTCCTCTGTACCCTGTAAATTCACTGCCATATCTCACTTTTCAAACCGAAACACGGCCATGCAAGCAACTGCTTCACGGTAGAAACATTAATATGAGAGAGGTGTCTAAGGAAACGACTTTTGTACAAAGTCTTCTTCTGTCTCATTCGTGTTAGCAACACCTATAATGGTATAACCGTATTTTGGTTTGAAGGAAGCATCAAGTCCGTCCACAATACTGCCAAAGCTATTTTTAAACATAAATATTTTTTATTATTTAACTCAATTGAAACGGCTTCCTAATCTTCGATCTTTAGTATAAAAGATTCAGAGTTACCGATAACGTGCACAATAACTTTTGTTTTTTATACGGAACCTTGACACAGTTCTGTAGCGATAAATGAACTATAAAAATAAAAAAAAATATTAACAAAACAGAATCGAGAATTCGAATGCTCTTTAAGTATATTCCTGTAAATATCATTTTTATTTGCATTTTTTTTTTGGAATATTTACCTGTGATAGGTATACGTAGATATTTCCATATTCTCTAGATTTATTTATTTTATTTATTCATTAGTACATATATGTGTACATGGCGGACTTAATGCTAAAAGCATTCTCTCCCAGTCAACCATAGGGAAGTGTCAGAATACTCGAATGCGGTACTAGTAATTATTGATATACATACATACTAAAATTACATATATAAACGAATAAATATATATAAATAACAAATATACTTACACATATATGACATATACTATATTATATACGAAATTGAGAATAATATAAAGCACTCGGATAAAGTAAAAAAGTGAGTGTGAACGTTTCTTTAAAAGACGGTTTAGTTGGTAGTCTCTTAATGGCATCAGGAAGCGCGTTGATATCATTTTAGCCATTATCTGTCCACTGGTGAACATAGGCCGCTCCCAATTGGGGATTTTGTCAGTGATTGCCACGCCTGGCAGGTGGGTAGGCAACCGCAGTTAGGCTTTAGTGATGTTTTGAGAGGGACGCTGCTGCCCATCCCTCGCCCTACCCTTAGTCGCCTCTTACGACATCCACAGGAAAAGAAGGGGGTAACTTATTCTATGCCGGGACCACACGGCATCTAAAAGTGGTATATTTCATTGTAAATAGATAGGTAGATACTGTTTTTGTTTCCTCCAAAAGATTACAATAGTAAACTTATTATAAATATAAACAATTACAAGAAATAATCACAGTGAGAAAACAATGGGCGGCCTTATCGCTAAGAGCGATATCTCTTTCAGGCAACCTTTGGATGGAGAGGAGTAATTATAAACAGTTTATTCGGAGACACGATGAAAATTCTATTATTTCTAAATATAGAGATATGATACATGTAATAATGTAAATGTATATCCCTACTTATTATTATACATACACACACACACACACACACACACACACACACACACACACACACACACACACACACACACACACACACACACAACAAAATCTTTAAGTTTTGTTTTAAAACTATGCAGACATTTTGTATTTCCTTACTCTGATATCCACGCGTACGAAGCAGCGGGCAAATAACTAGTATATAGTAATTACACAACATTTTTTTTTACATTAAAAAATTGAGTAATTCTTAAAATTGTAAGTGCAAAATAATTTTTGTTTGTTATTTAACCGACTGCAACAACATCTGAAACGTATGTTTTTGTTCTTATACTCGTGTATGTTTAAATTCCATACATGTTTATGTAAGTCGTCTATTCATTAACACACATATCAAAAAGAATGGATATTAATTAACAGTTTTCGTCCATTATTTTTTATTACTAACCTAATTTAATTATTTATTTGTTTTGCGGTGAACTGGCAAAAAACACCGTTATGTTATAAATCTGTCATACATACATACTCTCTCTTCAATCGTACACTCTTGACAGAGCGGTTGTGGTTTGCATGATTATAGTGGATGGTCGATGAGGCCCTTCTTCGAGATTGAGGTCCTCGTGTCTCTCCATCTACTTCTGCTCACAGCCGAGTAAAGCTCACATACATACATACATACATACATATTTGTAACATCTGTCATCTATTGGAGTAGGCAGAAACAATAGAATCCGTCATAGTAATATGTTTATTTAGGCATTTGTTTCTGTTTAAAATTGAAATTTTTTTTATACAACTCAGAATGGCAAACAAGCTGACGGCCCACCTGATGGAAAGTAGTAACCGTCGCCTATAGACATGAGCAGTACCATGGACATAACAGAGTATACTGTTTCGCCCATGATACTCCCCATGCGTTGCCATTCTGAGGACTCAGGTGTTACTCATCTGTACCCTGTAAATTCCTACCCTTTAAACCGAAACACAGCCATGCAAACACAACTGTTTCACGGTTGAAAAACGAATGGGACAGAAGTGCCCAAGCAATCGACTTTTGTACAAAGTCTCCCTCTGGTTAATTGATATATAATTACTTAATTATTTTTATTTCACAATAAAAACAATGAAATAAAAACGTCTTTCTCTGTTTTATTCTTCTTTATTCTTTATTATACACAAACATAATGTTAAGAACAATTAATTTTAAACGTAATTTACAAGGAGCTTATCTCTAATAAGAGATTTATTATGACCGGATAAAGATTGTGTCCCACAAAAATAACCGATCAATCGTGACAAAATCCGTTATTTTATAAACCAGTTAGTTATAAACTACTGACCCAATTTTTATAGCATTTCTATAGAACTAATCTGTAAGTATATCCTTTCAGATAAAAAAAGGAATGTTTCATATCGGTTTAGAGCTGACAGAGTTATACAGTAACAAACATAAAAAAAAATACCGCCGTATCGAGAACCTCCTTCTTTTTAAGTCGATTTAAAATGATTGAATGAATGAATGAAAATTTATTTCAATAATATTTCAAAAAATGGACGCCAAGTATTGTTTCTCGTTGGTATTAAAATCCTGGGAGGACATGGCAAGAATAATAGAGTCTACAGATAAAATATCTCTCATCCGCGCAATCTTAAACTTGGTAGAAAACTTTAAAAAATTGCTCTCTAATATTCCACCAGATAGGAAATCAAATCTACAACCTAGATTATTCAAACGTTACATTTTAAATCTATATTAAAAAGAAGATTAAAAAGATTTTAGTATTCGTTTATAATTCAAAAATACTCAACCGATTTTTGAAAATTTTCCTACCTATAAAAATTTACATTATCTGTGTACTCATAAGGGCTGTATTTTAATTAAAAAAATATATAAAGATCTATTTATTATCTTTAATTTTTTTTACAATAAATAATCAGTATGTAACTGTATCTACATATGTCTTATAATAATAATATAAATAAAAAACTGTATTCTTATACGACAAAAAAAAATTACCCAGTAATTTTCTAATAATTTAAATGCCAATACTCAATTACCAACCATATAATAAATATGTAACTCAAACCATAATATAGACTAGATAATCAAAAACCTTTTACCCGAAAAGAAAAAAAAAATGGTACATTTGTAACCCGTATTCGTCCTCGCCGAATCGGATGGTCCAAAGTAAAAGTAGACGGCAGAATCCCCCCTATAAAAGGCCACTGGCCATTCGGTACAGCATCATACAACCTCTGACTATCGTGCAGAAACAACCAAAATGGCAAAGTGGACCATAGTAAGTTTCCACCAAAATTGGAGTGCAGTGTTGTGAAGTGTCAATGGGACAGTAGGACGTGATGATTTACTATATAGTTCGTGCGATTATGTGATACAGTGATTTTCCGTTTTGGATCACAAACGAAAATCTATCTTATTGATAGAGTAATTCGAGTGACAATCCAATAAATATATCAGTTCTAAATTTGAATAACTTACAGTTAATATTCGTTATTGATAAAAAAAAAAATTTTTGGCATAAATATATTCATTCTAAATTTAAAAACATAATTCCTTAATTATAAAAGTACAGAGTCGAATTAAAAAATTCATATTATTACACAGTAATGTGTAATTATTAAGTCAAAATTATTGTAATCTGCATGTCATTAAAATCTCACACAGTGTTCTGAATACATGCTCTGTTTCCTTCGTTAATAGGAAGCTGTCTAAATAGAATAATACAAAGATTTTGTTTATTTCTAGGTTGCTCTGGCGCTCGTCGGCTGCGCTGTAGCTGAGCCACCAGTAGGATACAGCTATTCGGCTCCATCATCTCTCATCGTAGTCGGAGGTCACAGCAGCGGAGGATACAGCAGTGGCGGTTACAGCAGCGGAGGGTTAAGTAGCGGTGGTCATTATACCCCTGTGCCAGTGGGACACCAGACCTCAGAGGGCTACCACATCGACCCCCACCTATTGGGCAAAATCAAGCACATAATCCTGAAGGATGAGATCCAAAACCAAGCATACCAGTCGTCATCATCCGGACACGGACACGGTATCTCGTCCCACTACGGTGCCCCAGCGCCAGTGTACGGTGTCCCGCAAGACAGAATCGTAGGTATCGAGCTCGACCACATCCAACAAGGCATCCAAGTTGCTCAATACCACCAGGCTGACGAAGGATACGCTGGCGGTTACGCTGGTGGCTACTCCAGCGGCGGATACTCCAGCGGCGGGTACTCCAGCGGCGGACACGGATCCATCTCGTACTCCGCGCCTTCCATCACCTACACGACTATCGGAGTCCCCTCGGGATCCTACGGAGTGCCATCCCCGTCATCGTCGTACGGCACCCCGCATCATTGAACGACAACCGAGTCATAGTCACCTCATCTCATTAAATGTTATGAAACTCATGTGATCGCATCCTAGATTTATTATGTATTATATTTGTTGTTAATTTAAGTTTCTGTAAATAAACCTCCTTTTGTATGTACGACTTCTTAATTTGTATTTGTTCCGCAGACGATAAGTTGTTTTAATGGACGAAAATGTCGAATGGCGACAATTGCATCACTTTCACGTTTAAACTTGTCCAGTAATAAGTGTTTTGGCAATGTAACAATTGTACCGCCATGTAAGGGCACTCGAAATAAACGTTATGCTTCTCGAGAACGCAACGAGGTCCCCGAAAGTTGGTAACAGGGCGTCGTGGAAAGGTTTTCAATATTGAATGAAAACGAAAGTACATCGAGCGACTTTATGATGGATATATAGATATTGCAGTGAATGTACGATATGACGCAATACCGATTTTAGAGTTTCGCGCCTTTCCAAGCTTTTAGAATTATCCGCTTTGTCTTTGGAGTGGTCACTTTTACTTTTACACATAGCCGGTAGCTTACATGACATAGATAAATGTGAGACAGGTTTCTCGAGCACTTCCAACTAGACACTGGTTTCTGACGTATCAACCAGATGGTGGATACATCGAAACAGGTTAGAAATGTATTAGATAATAGACATCTATTGCCTTAGAAAACTCAAAAGAATCTTCAATATTTACTTTTTATTCTCTTATTTGGATGATATTATAATTATACTCGGAGCGATGCGTGGAGTTAATGACACCAACGAACGAGTAGTTACATCACTGTGACTGTTTTAGCAGAATTAGCGAATTTCGCCCGCGCCATAATCCGGCTGCATCATGCACTTTCTCCTGCAGCGTTGGACCAAAGCCTTCTGAATCTCGGATCGGATTGCGTAACGCGTATGTTATGAGATAGACGCGGAATCGTCCAGTACTCCAATTTGCATTTTTATAACATCGTAAGTGAATATATTATATTCATTATGTCAGTTTATATTTAATCTGTACTCGTACAAATAAAGTGACTTTTACTAATCGATCTGTCTAATTTGTCTGCTGCTTTAAATACCGGGTTTAAAAACAAACTTGCAATTTTAAATAGACACAATTTCTAAACTTCCATTGAGGAAGTATTTTTGGAAAGAACAGAAAACTGCCATTTCCTCACCTTTACGTAGAAACTGTACATTTAACCTTTTTTTTATCACACTGAGGTGGCAATCAAGTATAAGACCCACCTGATGGTAATCGGTTACCATAGCCTATAAATACCTGCAATACCAGATGCAATACGCGTTAGCGATTTTTTTACCGTTCCACCAACATTTTTAATGAATAATTTCATGACTTAGGTTTTTTTATGTATCTCTTTAAATCTTAAAAGTAAATTCACTCAAAACTTGCAAAATATTTAAGGATAATAAGTTTTTTTTATACAACTTAGAATGGCAAACAAACTGACGGCTCACCTGATAGAAAATGGTAACCGTCGCCTATAGACATGAGCAGTACCATGGACATAACAGAGTATACTATTTCACCTATGATACCCCCAATGCGTTGCCATTCCTGAGGAGTCAGGTGTTATTCTTCTGTACCCCGTAAATTCACTGCCATATCCCACCCTTCAAACCGAAACACAGCCATGCAAACACAACTGCTTCACGGTAGAAACACAATTAGGACAGAAGTACCCAAGCAATCGACTTTTGTACAAAGTCTCCCTCTGGTAATAACATATAAATAAATACTAAAACTAGTATTAAATATGTTACTTAAATTACTCTGTAATATAATAAAATTTCAGCCGTGTGGTCCCGTCATAGAGAAGACCATTCCTTCCTTTCCCGTGGGTGTCGTAAAAGCCAACTAAAGGAGAACGTGGGATGGGCAACAGCGTCCCTCTTAAAGGATCTCTAAAACCTAACTGCGTACACTTACTAGAGTACTACTTGCTATACTCCCAGGGGGGGAGCTTAAGCCAACTAAGGGAGAACGTGGGATGGGCAACAGCGTTCCTCTTAAAAGATCTCTAAAACCTAACTGCGGTTGCCAACCTGCCAAGCGTGGCAACTACTTGCAATACTCCCAAAGGGGAAGCTTATGTCCAGCAGTGGACAGTTAAAGGCTGATATTATGATGATAATAATTTAAATATTAAGGGCATAGTTAAAAATTTCCTTACAAATAATAATAGAGTTATTACCATTTAAACGACTTTGTCGTATCTTTAAAGTAATTTTACGCATATAATGTCTTTATTACGAATCATTACGTTACAAAAGTCATTTATTTTTATTACCATCATTATTCATCATCATATTTGGACGTCATTATCATCAATTTCACGCCACATATATTTAAAACGGTTTTTTTTTTCTTTCTATTATGTGAATATTAGCTTTTCACCTGTTATAATATTTTGTGCCCATGGTTTTTGAAGTAGGAATATTAATGGAACCATAATTACCAGATTTTGGGGTATCATGGGCGAAACAGTATACTCTGTTATGTCCATGGTACTGCTCATGTCTATAGGCGACGGTTGCCACTTTCCATCAGGTGGGCCGTCAGCTTGTTTGCCATTCTAAATTGAATAAAAAAAAATTTAGTTAGAACTTTTGGAATACAACTGTGGAAATCGCATCTATTATTTATTTTTATTTGGCATATGTTATTTCCATCATTTTTATTTATAATAGATAGATAGATAGATACTCTTTATTGTTTCCTCCAAAAGATTACAATAGTAAACATATTATAAATATAAACAATTACAAGAAATAATCACATTGAGAAAACACTGGTCGACGTTATCGCTAACCAGGCAACCTTTGGATGGAGAGGAGTAATTATAAACAGTTTGATCAGAGGCATAATGAAATTCTATTATTTCTTAATATAGAGATATGATAAAGCTTCATCATCATTCATCATTTCAGCCATTACCCGTCCACTGTTGGACATAAGCCTCCCCCATAGACTACTATAAAGAACGGTCCTGAGCCACCTGCATCCACTGACTCCCTGCTATGCATTTTAGATCGTCACTCCATCTATTGGGGGATCGTCTTACACTGCGTTTACTCTAACTCTAATAGCTTATTAACTACTTATACCGCATATTTCTACCGTGAAGCAGTCAAGCATGGCTGTGTTTTAGTTTGAAGGGTGGGATATGGCGTGAATTTACAGGGTACAGAGGAATAACACCTGAGTCCTCAGGAATGGCAACGCATGGGGGGTATCATGGGCGAAACAGTATACTCTGTTATGTCCATGCTCATGTCTATAGGCGACGGTTACCACTTTTCATCAGGTGGGCCGTCAGCTTGTTTGCCATTCTAAGTTGTATAAAAAAAATTATCCAAAGTACTTGGTACCAATAGTGATTTTTGTGTATTAAGTAATTATAAATTAAATAAATATACCTATGTAAATTTTATCGCCAATATTTGCATGCCATTTAATGTGGCGACACACAATGGACATCTTGTAAACTTGACAAATGCATTTAATTTCATTTCTAATTTGGTGCAGTGATTTTTGCGTGATGCCTTAACAAATATAAGGACAGGAAGAAAAAAATATATATATTAGAGATGCCGAAGTAAACAACTTTTGTACAAAGTCTCCCTCTGGTAATCTAAGGTCTACCTAAGGCATCATCCGATCGATTACAAAATATTATATTTTTGGCCTTACCACGATCGAATGGACTATTTGTCACGATCGAATGGTTGGCCATCCCTAGTTTAGAACATAAATGAATTTTAATTTTAATTTTACATGTGTCACTGCACGATCGGTTTACATATATGAATTACATATAGCCAATGACTTTCTTGGTAGAATGTAGTAACACTAGTTTCAAGTAGATTGTATAATGATGTATCTCAATTATGTACTGTCACTCGCCTTGGACGGCCGGTGTAAATACGGAGGCCATTTTTAAGAGGTGAAGGTAGGACAGTCGACAATTTTTGAAAGTCCATTTTTTGGCAATATTTTAAATGTGATCATTGCTGGAAGGCAGCAGTGTTATAATTAAGACATATTTTATATGTGACTTATAATGGAAAAGCAATATAGTTCAAGTAATGGAAAATGGCTTTCGTCACTTGTTTTTTTTTTATGGATGATAATGGAGTGGTAACCCCGCTTACGCTATCGGTATATCGCTATCGGCAGGGCACCAGTGAAGGATGTTAGGTGAGGATGAAGCAGGTCAGTTAGCCCACCGTGACGGATCTAACAATAAATCTATCTTTATGGTTTCCAGGGGAAACCGCGAGGAGGTCGACCTTATAGGGCACTTTGCTAGCAATCCCCTACTAAAGGGGCTACTAATCCCCATTACTAACAACCCCTTCTCCCCCCACCGTCACCTATTGGCAAGATCAGAATCACGAATGTTACAAAAAAATACTTTCGTGTCTATGGTTTTTTTTTAAGATGAAAATAAACAGTGTCCGCGTGGTCCCGGTATAGAATAAGCCACACCTTCCTTTCCAGTGGGTGTCATAAGAGGCGATTGAGTAGCAGCGTCCCTCTTAAAACATCTCCAAACGCTAACTGCGGCTGCCAATCCGTCTGCCAAGCATGGAAACTATTGGCAAAACCCAGGAGGAGGAGGAGGCTTGGTGGAGACGGTTACCACTTTCCGTCAGGTGGGCCGCCAGCTTGTTTGCCATTCTAAGTTGCATAAAAAAACCGTCGACCTAAGAGTAATGGGGTCATTGCTAGAAATGGGGTTGCTAGTCCCCGAAACTATCGGCGTCAATAAGAATTTGATAACATCCAAGATGTCTAGAAGCGACATTCACCATTTCCCAACAAGTGGACCACGGGGTGAAAGGGATTGTTAGTAATGGGGTCAAATAACCTCATTACCAGCAATATACCTTGTCAGGTCGACCTCCACGTGGTTCCCCCTGGAAACCATCGTGGTTAATTCTAGTAAAATTTTTCAGGATGAGCTAACTGACCTGTTTTCATCCTTCGCCAGTGTATACCGATAGCGCAGGCGGGTTACCATACCATTATCACCCATTAAACAAAAAACAGATGGACCGCAAGCTTGTTTGCCATTCTAAATTGCATAAAGCACTATTTAAATGGTTAAC